TTTCTCCTCCTCCTCCCTTCCCTCCCTCCCTCCCTCTTCCCTCCCTCCCTACTCCTCCCTCTTCCTCCTCCCTCTTCCCCATCCTGCTATGAAGGGCGGCGGGGGAATGGCAAGGAAGAATCACATGAACAGGCGTAGACTGCCAGCTACCAAGTCTGCCTCGTCTTTGCTCTCTAAATCCTCCTGCCCTTCTTCCGAGTACAGCTCTCTCATCAAGCAGCTAGTACGAGATGCCTCTTCTCTATCGTTAAGCACCCTGACTTCCAGCTTCATCCTCCCTCCCTCTTCCCGTCGCTCGTCCAAGTTTCCAGTGCTGACGAATCCTTCAGCGCCACGATCTCGACACCGAGCTGCCCGGACTTCTCCAGCTTCGACTCGATGGATGCCTCGGCACGGGCCCCCCTCACGCCAGCCCAGCACGCGAGACCCCCATGCGGAGCGAACTGCCGCAGAGGGGATACGCCTGCTCCTTCTCCTGGTCTTCCATCCCCATGTCGCATCCCCTCATCTATTTCCGTTGAGCTTCCTGCATCTCTCGCCAGGGATATGTATATGTTGTCATGTCTCATACGCCTTCAATCTCTCCTCTGACGACGAAAACAAACCAGAACATTGATTAACTTCGTGTGGCGGTGATGTTATGTCAACAAGCTCTCTCCGACCTCCTTCGTCAGATCCTCCTTATCATAACCACCTAAGAGGGGAAAGGGGCGGGGGGAAAGAGATCGGACGGAAGGGGATGGGATCATGGAAGGGATAGAGGGAGAGGAGACGGCGGACAGACAGAAGGGAGGACCGCGAGAGACCAAGAGGGAGGAAGGAGGGAGGAGGCAAGAAGGAAGAGGAGGGATGGAACGGGCCGGGAGGAGGGAATAGGGAAGCAGAAACAGGGCGGGAGAGAGGGACTGGGGCGTGACGGAGAAATGGACGAGGGATTAGTAGCGGGCGGACGTAGGGAGGAGACAGGGATGGGAGAGAGGGCGACGCAATAGAGCCTGGAAGCTGCTCCTCCCTCCTCCCTCGCTCCCTCCGTCCTCCCTCCTCCCGCTTCGCCCTCTCCCCTAGCCGCATGGTTACCATTGCCATTCCCTCATCCACCCTCCCCCACCCCCTTGGTCGGAAAGGGATGGGACGGAAGGGTAGGATGTCAGACATGGCGCGAGCGAACCCAGGGGTGTCCCCTACATTTTCCCCAAATCCATCTCCCTACTCCTTCCCCTCCGCCCCGCCCCCCCCCCTCTACATCTATCCGCCCTCCTCCCGCGTGCCTCTGTGAGGGCCCTGGGGCCCGAAACTGTGCGAAACCGCCCGATGTGAAACAAATGCGATGCCATGATATCAGGGTCCCTCTCCTCTCTCCCCCTCCTCCTCCCCCCTCCCCCCCGACCCTCCTGCCTCACTCTGCCCCTGCCCCCCCCCTCCTCCCTCCTCCCTCCCTGCCGACACCGCCGCCGCCTCCCTCCCCCTCCTCCCCCTCCCCTCCCCCTCCTCCCTCCCCTCCCCTCCCCCTCCCCCTCCCCTCCTCCTCCTCTCCTCCTCCTCCTCCTCCTCCTCCTCCTCCTCCTCCTCCTCCTCCTCCTCCTCCTCCTCCTCCTCCTCCTCCTCCTCCTCCTCCTCCTCCTCCTCCTCCTCCTCCTCCTCCTCCTCCTCTCCTCCTCCTCCTCCTCCTCCTCCTCCTCCTCCTCCCCGTCCCTCCTCCCTCCCCCACGACCCCCCCGTCTCCCTCTCCCCCTCTCCCTCCCCTCCCCCTCCCTCTCCATGTCCTCCCCCTGCCCCATATCCCTCCCTCCCGACGCACAACGACGCACGACCGACGCTGGCGGGCGACGACGCACGAGGACGCACGACGACGACACTCGTCGCAGGACACCTGCCGGCGGGCGCCACGCACGGACGACGGCGGCGGGCGGCGCTTGCCGTGAGGGTGTTGATCTCCTTCTCCTGCGAAGGCGGGCGCCCCGCGCTCCGCGAAACGGTGTGCGGGAGACGGGGAAAAAGGGTGGCGGGCGGCACGGGGGAGGAGGCGGGATCGGGAGGAGGAGGAGGAGGAGGAGGAGGAGGAAAAGGAGGAGGAGGAGGAGGAGGAGGAGGAGGAGGAGGAGGAGGAGGAGGGGGGGAAAGATTGCGGGAGCAGGGGAAGAGGAGGAGGAGGAGGAGGAGGAGGAAGAGGAGGATGAGGAGGAGAAGGAGGAGGAGGAGGAGGAGGAGGAGGAGGGGAAGAGGAGGAAAGGATGGAACAGGGGGGGAGGAGAAAGAGGGACGAGGAAGACAAGGAGGCGCAGGAGGAGGAGGAGGAGGAGGAGGAGGAGGAACACTGAGAATGGGAATGGGGCTGGGCGGCCGAAATCGTCTGCCGACGCAGCGGCAAAAGTGAGCTAGGACCCTCCAGGGGCCACCTCTCGAACTCAAACCTGCAGTCCCGCTTGGCCCGCATGCGCCCCGAAGCCCATTCAACCGCCGAGATGGCCGACACAAGCCCGTGCATGCGGGCAACTTGGGCCAGGTCGAGCACGGGGACATTCGCCCCATACTGGTGGAAGCTGGCGGGCCCGTGGACCTCCGACCCCGCAGACACCCCAGGGAGCCTGCCAGCGGGCCCGTCCGAGGACCCAGCGCCGCCCGACGAGGGCCCAACCCCGCCCCCAGGCACCGCGCCCTCGGCCCCCGCCAGCTTCTCCTGAAGCCACTCACCATGGATTGGGAGCCGAGGGGTGGAGGAACCTGCGGAGCATGGACCTCTGGGTGGACGCAAAGCAGAGCATCACAAGGCCTTTCCCAGGGGCCACTCTGACTCCCACAAAGGCCCACCAGATTTGCGGAAAAAAACAAACACTGGCAAGCTTCTGGGCCGTCAACATCGCACTCCACCACGGCGTGCCTTTGAAACAGCCACGGCCGACCTGGCATCAACCCCAGATCAACCCCACCACCCTCGACAACAGGCACGGGCTCGGGCTCGCGCGGGGCCGGGGCAGGCGCCGATCGCCTCCAGGCATGTGCTTCGCGAGCCTGAAGGGCGCGGGCGATGGCCGCGCCCTCTGCTGCGCTCTCGTCAACCTCAGCGCCGATGCCTAAGACAATGTCACCTGCGCCGACCACTCCTCCAATGTCCCACGCATCGCGGTCGGCAATCCAGGCATGAACGTGCTCCACTCGGCGCGCAAGCTTGCTGGCAATGTCCCCACGTGCTTCAGCAACGAGGACTTGCTCGGGCGGTGTCCGCCACAACAGAACTCATTTCTTGGCCCGCTAGTCTGCCAGGGAGTTGCCCAGCCGACACCGAGCGTCAAAAAAGGAACGATCGCTCTCCGCCGAAGTGCGCGCCTTGACTTGTTCACCGTCGCGCTCTCGCCACGCTTCTGCCCCAGACTCCCACATGTGCCGAGACTGGTTCGACAGAAGACTGAGCGCCTTCGCAGCATTCCTAGCACAAACGATGGCGCTCGCGCAGACAAACAGCACCGTGATCGCACCGTCAACTGCAAGCTCCAAAACAAACAAAAAAAAAACGGGGCATCCTGTGAAACGCATCATCTTCCGCGCCCCTAGAAGGACCGGGGGAACGAGCCGTCGTCATTGCGGCCGATCACAAACCACCCCGCGCGGCGCAAGCCGCCGCGCCGAGCGCAGAAGGCTGGGCCGCCTACAAACACTTCGCCTTCGAAGAGCCAGGCAGGCAGACAACCCACGAAGCGAAAATGGCCAGCTTCGGGAATCTCGACGCCGGGGAATGCGCGCGCAGGCGAGGGCAACAGGCCTCGCGCAGAAAGCTCCACACTCGGCCCTCCCTCGCTCGCCACGACTATCGCAGCCCTGAGAAGCTCAGGCGGGCAATCTTCGCGGCGCAGGAAATCCGCGCTTGTGCAATCGAAGCTGCGGGGCCAAAGGGCGCCCCGGGCACCGCGCCTGGCGCGGCGGTCGCGCGCAACATTGCCCGCGGCGCGCAGGCGCGCTCGGCTCCAGCGAGCCCCGCGATTCACGGATCGAAGCGCCTTCGTGCGTCTCCTCACCAACGGCTCCGAGGTTCTCGCGAGCTCGGCCACCGCGGGCCCCCGGCGCAGCTCCGACACCCAAGGGTGCCCCATCCCCATCAGCGCAGCGGCGTCGGAGGCGGCGCATGCAGATTCGCGCGCTACCTGGCAGGCAGCCCCAGGCGAAATGGAAATCGATATCGCGCTGGCGGAGATCATGGATCCCATCGCGTTGCGGTAGCTGGCAGCCTGCGGGCGCCAGGCACAGGGCAGCGGCCTGGGCGGGGCCAGCGCGCTGCGCCCACGGCTGCTGGTCTCAGTTATCCTGCGCGCCTCAGCGCGGGCAGTGGCCAGCGCCTCAGGCTGGCGCAGCCCGTCTCGCACCCCTGTGGCCCATGCCTCGGCGACCTCCACCGTGCGCACCGCGAAATGGGCCCCTGCACCATGCCCACTCCACGGCGCGGACTTTTAAGCCGAGGCGTGTACCTGGCACAAGCCTGCCCTCAGCCGGAACGCATGGGCTCGGAGGCCGTTGAGCTTGCCATCCACGGTGCCCGTGACTGTCGATTCCCGCGCCGCCGCGGCGCATGGCGACCCTCGAAGCAGGCGGCATGTCACGGCCCCCGCGGACTGTAACAGCTCGATCATGACCGCCGCCCTGGCCGCCTTGGCAAGCCTCTTGTCCTGCTCGGTCACCCGACGCCTGCTGCCGTCGCTGCCATCTCACCTCCGAGGCACCGCAGCGCCGCGTGCGGTTTCAGGCCCATCGCTTCCCAGACCTGCCCAAACGCCTGCGCGAGCCCTGGGCCCGTGGCCAGCCAGCTCGTCTTGCCCCAATTTATATCGAGGCGCCTGGCCCGCAAGCCGAGCCTGCGAAATCTGGTCACCGACAGGGCGAACCGCGCCAACCGCCTGGAGGAGGCTGTCGCCCACCAGGCTCTGGGCTCGCACGGCGGGTAGCGCGGGGCATTGCTGCGCAGGAGAGCGCACGTCAGCAGCGTGCCCACGCCCGCCGCGCAGGGGCACCCAGCCGCCGCTACGCCGCCGGCCTCCACCAGCGGCCCCACCCCTTTGCCCAGGAGGGCCCCCCCTGGGCGGGCGGTAGCTGGAGCGCAGCGCCCTCAGGAGGACAATAGGGAACTTCGTCTCCACAGCCTGCTCGAACAGCTCTTCACGACTGATGAGCACGAAGTACTTCGTGAGGTCCTCCGCAAGGGTGTCCGAGACCACCCCCGTCTTCTTGGCGAAGCTGGTCATCATGTTGTGCACGAAACCCGCCTTCTCGCACGTGCGCCCGGCAGCCCCCCCAGCGGAACAACTCCTCAATCCTGCGCTCCCAGGCTGCCACGACAGGCTGCCCCAGCTTGAACCACACCCCTGTCCAGATGCTGGTCAAGAGGATGGGCCTGACTCCCCCTGGCGGGGGCTCGGGTAAAGACGCGACGAGGAGGAGCCAAAGCGGCCCGAGCCGTGAATGGAGCTCCCAGCTGTGGATAATACCCAGGGAAGCCTGGCGGTGCAGCACAGGAAAACATCTGAGATGCCGCTGGCGCATTATGTCTCAGCCTGGGCCAGTGGCCTCACCGTAGGACGCCGGCGCGCTATCCAACTCGTCTGAGGTGATCGGCAGGAGGCTGGTCCAGTCACGTCGCCCGCGCTGCACCCGCGACAAGGGGTCCTCGTCCTCGGCGCGATCCTCATGGACCCACTGGGCCCCCCACTCCCGCACGACGACGGCCATGGCCGCGTCGCCAACAACGGGCAGACCCGCGCACACATCCTCACAATCGTGCTCGATCAGCGTGAATGGGACTGGATTGCCTACTTTGATGAAGCGGTCGGCCTGCTGCCCCCCCCGCCTTGCGCGGCGCCTGCTGTGCCCACGTGCGCCACTACGACGAGCGACGCTGTCGGTCCCTGGCCTGCAGCTTGCTGGCGTAGCCGGTGATGCCCACGAGCAGCGCGTGGCACACGTGCAGCTCCAACTTGTCGAAGGTTGAGGCTACGTCATTGTGGCCCCAGGCCGCACCTCGCTGAAATCGAAGGACCTCATCACCCGCGCCTGCCTGTCGAGGCAGGAGTACCTGTTCCAACCGCGCTCGCCCTTGTGGGCGCGCGTGAGCGCCGCCTTCCTGCAGGCCGCAGCGAAGCTCGCCCACGGCCTGTGTTGCTTGCTCGTGGTCGCCTTCAGGGTCAGGTCCCACACGTGGACCAGCGGCTCTTCGACCACCTGGAAGCCGTCCTCTTTCTTGATGGGCTGGGAGCGCTGGTCCAGCTGGCGAAGCCTTTCCAGGTAGTCCCCCACCATCGAGATCCAGAACTCCGAGGCCCTGGCCAGGTCCCCTTGGTCACCCCCGACCTGCCAAAGCCAGCTGCTCCCGTCGAGCTCTGGGGGCGCCTCCTGGGTGGGCGGCGGCAGGACCATCGGGCACCTGCTGGGGTAGAGCGCCCTGGCGATGGTGGCCCGCTTGTGCATCCCCTTGAGCTCGATGGTGGTCGGGGCGAGGGGGCTGGTCGGGCATCGCCGAGGACCTTGACTGCCTCGACTCAGCTGGCAATCGCCTCATGTTTGCCGCATGTGGGGGCCATGGCCTCACCACCGCTCCTCCAGCCTGCTTCGCCCAACTGGTGAGGAGGTCGGGCTCAACAGTCCAGTCTGCCAGGATGGTCCACGGCCACGCTAAGCTGCCCACCCAAGTTCTGGAGGGCCTCGAACATGTCAGTGTTGCCCCCTTGCCATGCCAACGCCATCAACCAGGTAGGCGGAGATGGCCACGATCGGGATGCCCAGCCCCGTGTTGAGCTTGGTTGCCTGTGCCCCGTGCAGGGGGTAGGCTGCTGCACCACGTCGGTCTCTCGCCCCTGGCAGCCGCCACGGCCGAGGGCACTGCACGGCCCGCCCGAGCAGTCGAGCGTCCCTGGGCGCGTCTACACCGCCAGCGCGCCGAAGAGGTCGACACCCGCCCGCCGCGCCCGGTCAGCTGCAGCGCTCAGGCGCTGACTGGACTTAATTGAGGCGGGCCTCCTGCATGCACACCACGTCGTACACCTGCTGCTTGCCACTGCTCGGCTCCAGGACGGCCTGGCCGCCGGCCCAGGTGTGGGCATCGACTGATACTTATCGGCGTGAGCTCCTCGGGCGCTCCCCGAGACGAGCGCGGCACGCAGCCAGGCGCCTTGTCTCGAAGCACATCGGGCTCGGCCTGCCAGCAGTGTCGCCGCAAGCGCCTTTTTACTCAAAAGAGGGTGATGAGGAGGAGGAGGAGGAGGAGGAGGAGGAGGTTCCCTCCCCCCTTTCCAAACACTGCGCTGCATCCTGGTCGAAACGCAAATAAACGACGAGGCCTCGCACAGCGTAAGGAACTCCAGGACATGACGGGCTCCGTGGACCTGTGACGAGAGGGGCCAGCGGAAAACTATCAACTCCACCTGGCCACACTCGGAACATTTCCCCTGCAGGATGCAGCGCAGCGTATTCTGCGCCGACTCTCCACGCTGACAGCCCACCACCTCAGAGCTAGGATATCACCTGCCAACTCCAAGGGGTTCGTGGTGCCATACTTCTAATATGGCTGGCAGAACAAGCAATGCATGTCACCCGCCTCAGCCTCAGGCACAGGGATTAGCTAACACAAATCGATATCGTGTAGGTGTGTGTGCGCGAAACCCTAATTCCGACACGCAGTGGAAACCTTGACGCGCATCTTCGGGCCGAGGATGATGACGATGACGTGGAGATGAGGACCCGACGCCGAAGGTGACGAGGAGGGAAGAGAGGGAGATGTCGTTGGCCCCTCATCCAAGCTCATACATATCATCTTGAATCGTATCCATATGCGTCCCCATCTTTCAATGTGTACCACATGTCTCTTCATTCTGCTTATAATTGCGTCTGCGCGTCATTAGTATCCTCACTAATCCTGTTTCCTCTCGTCTTCCACCAAACCTCCTCCTCGTCATTCTCCTACCAAATCCTCATCATACTTCTCCTGCCCGTCCATTTTCCCCCTTCTCCCTCTGACCCTCCTCCTCCTCCTCCTCCTCCTCATCCCCCCCGCCTCCGCCTCCGCCTCCGGTAAAAACGCCCCGAAGGACGGCCAGGCCAACATGATGAACGCGGCGGCCTCCATCCTCCCAAGGTCAAGTAGAAGTCGATGGAGGGGGAGCATAGGGCGAAAGGGGAGGGGCCGAAAAAAAACAACCGTGGAGCACAGATCGCCGACGACCCACCACCGAACAAACACACCAACACAGACGGTTTTCAACACAAGCGAGCCAAATCCCTGCAAACAACGCCAGCTACGGGAGGTAAATTTCGGTGGACGCAACTGCCCTTCTCAATTTTACCACCCCGCTCCGGGGCAGGCTCAAAAATCCATACACAAGGCGCACATGTCGTGCAAGCCACACAAGTCGTCCAGGAGAACACACTGTCAAATGTAGAACACTGGACAGCGTATGAATTCTCGGTATCTAACCCACTTCATCATCAAGTCGTTCAGCGCGTGAATGCTGGCGACCATAGTGGTTTCGCGGTCTCCTTGGTGCTAATTGTTTGCCTCGGTGAGATGATGCGTGAGGGCTTGCCCACAGTGTCTAAAATTAGGTGGCAACGCTGGCGAGGTGGCCATCATCCCAAGCCTTGTGGATGCCATGACAATGGACACTCTAACAATCCTACCATTGAATTCCAAATGTGTCGAACATGTGTAAAAATGTTTTAAATATGTCAAACACGTTTTACATATCAAAAACACGTTTGAACATGGTTTAGACACCTGGAAGTAAGTTGGCAGCACGCTTCCTGTTCCATCGATCGACTTCCACAACCCTAGCCTCCAGCCCACCCCAGGATGCGTCGAAGACGCCCGCGATGGCCTCCAAGACGGCTCTTCGGCGCTCCAGGAGGGCCCCGGGTGGAGGCAGCATGGCTCCCAAAGCGGCCCAACCTGCAGCCAAGACGGCCCGTTGGCCTCCAGATTGCCCAAGACGGCCCAACATGCATCCAGCACGGCCTAAGAGGGCCTCAAGATGGCCCAAGGCGCCCCAAGAAGCTCCCAAGAGGCCTCCAAGACGGACCAAGAGGCCTCCAAGAGGAGATACAGGAAGTCCCGAAAAGGCCAACATCGTTCATGTTCAAACAGTGTTTGAAGAATGTTGGTATTTCCTCCTGTTGGGCCGTCCGACGGCCCACAACAGCCCACCAGACACCCAAGCTAGCCGCAAGATCGCCCAACAGGCTGCCAAGAGGGACCCGATGACGGCCCAAGAAGCTCCCAAAACGGCCCGAATAGGGCCCAGAGACGTCCCAAGAGGCCCCCAACACGCCCAAGATGGCCTCCAACACGGCCAACGTGGCTCCAAAACAGCCCAAGATGCCCTTTAAGACGGCCAAAGAGGCCCCAAAGACACCCCAAGTGGGCTCCAAGAGGACGTTCAGGAGGCCAGTCTCACTTAATTGTCCACAGGTTTCTATGAGTTTCGCGTTCTCGCCTTCCGGGCTTCCGACGCCACAAGGACCCAAAGCCCCCAAGATCGCCCCAAGTCGGCCCAGAATGCCCCCGAGAGGCCCGCAAGACGGCCCAAGAGGGCCCCAAGACAGCCCAAGAGGGCCCCAAGACAGCCCCAAGACGGCCCCAGAGACCTCCAAGAGGGCCCTCAAGCGCCCAAAGAGGGACCCACGACTGCCCAGGAGGGGCCCAAAACGGCCTCCGAAGGCCAGAAGGCCCCCAAGAGGCCCCGAAGACGCTCCCAAGATGTCCCCAAGAGGTCCCCAAGAGACCCCCACGGGGCCTCAGGCGGCACCCAAGATGCCCCGTAGAGCCCACACAAAGGCGCCCAGAAGTCCCCAAGAGCTCCAAGAGGGCATCAAGAAGCCTCCTCTTCTTCCTCCTCCGCATTCTCCTCCCTCGCCTCATCCGTTCTCGGCCTTTCCCCAATGTTCCCCAAAAATTCCATAACGGCTGGGGAAACACACAGTCCAAATGGGGAAACCAAAAGGTACCGTTATCGCTACTCCCTGGAGCTCTCGCGAATCCAGCGGTGGCGACGAGGGCCTCCCAGGAGGTCCAGCGCGCAGTCCAACAGCTTGGGCCGACTTCGGCCCAACATCTGGCCGCGTGGGCGTTTCCAAAAGGCAGGGGGCGGCGGCGACTCGCCGCACGCGTCTTCGACCTGCCGCCCCCGCTGTCCGCGGAGAGGCGTCTTCTGGCGTGCCAGCCGCTGTACTTCTACCCATCGGTCGGAAGAAGTGGGCAGAAGCATGGCACGGGGAGGCGACAGAGAAGTAGATGGGGCTCCCGCCCGCTCCCTGAAGAGGAAGGCAAAGGTGAGAGCCCTCCACTCGCCAGCGCTCGGACGTCCATTCCCTGTGTTTTTTTCGGTTTCGTGCGTGTTTTTTTCGCCAAATGGTCAAGGATGCTCCTCGATGGTCCTCGCCGCGGAAAAACCGCACACGTCCGAGCGATGCCAGGTCCATCACTGATGGCAAGACGGCGCCTGAAGCAGATCAGGATCCGAAAGCCCCGAACTACCCGCTGTTGGCGACCGGCGCGTACCTGTAGCCCTTCCTGTGGCACCCCGCCCAAGCCGCTGGCCCCGCAGAACCCGCCGGGAAGCGCAGCTGCCAACTGCTGGTCCGCCTACGTCAGGCTCGTGTCGTGCCGACTTCGGCGTTGGTTCCTGACACCGCGGGGATCGTTCAACCTTGAACGGTCGGCCGTTTCCGAAACGTCCAGATCGTTCCACATCGAACGATTCTGAGCCGCCCGCGGCGTTCAAAAATGAACGCCGCTGGCGGGGTCGCCGCCGTTCGACACGACGTGAACCTACCGTAAGATGGCTCTAGGATGGCTCCATACAGGGGCTTCCGTCGCCAAAAATTATGTCGTATGTCCAGGGTGGCCTCAGCAGCCTCCAAGATGGCTCGCGATGGCTCCAACAGGGCAGGAGATGTCCCAAAGACGGCGCTCCTTGGCAAGGCTCAGGGCCTCGAAGTCCTTGATGGCCTGCTCCTGCGCGGCGGCTTGGTGTCGTCGTCCGAGTCGCCAACGTCGCCGTCGTCGCCGTCGTCGACGTCAACGTCGCCCTCGTCGACGCCGCCGCCGACGCCGCTGTCGTCGCCAGCTTCGTCGTCGCCACCGCCATGGTCAACGCCTATACTCCAGCTCCTTCTTGTTCTCATCCCTCCTCATCCTCCAAAAGCCCCCCCATCTCCCGCTTGTCCCCCCCGTCTTTTTCGCCCCTCCCCCACCTCATGGTCCTCCTCGCCCTCCCCCTTCGCCTCCTCATCATCCCTCTTCCCCTTCTCCTCTTCCTCCTCCTCCTCCTCCTTCTCAAACGCGGGTTCCTCGTCATTACTGTGAGGCCTCCGCCTCCCTCCTTCCTCCTTCCCCGAGGGCTCCCAACTTCGCGCTTCGCGCTGCGCGAAGCGCGAAGTGCGAACAACTTCGCGCTCTCGCGCCTTCTCCCAGGGGAGAGAAGAGGAAGATGAGGAGGAATCGGAGCCGAACCGCGAAGCGCGAATAACTTCGCGCCCTCGATGGCGCCCTTGTTCCCGCCTCGTCCCTCCCGCACGCTGACCCGCTCGCACTCGGACCACGCAGACTCCACACTCCCTCGCGCACAGACTCCCTCATCCTCAGGCTTGCCCGTTCACGCTCACGCTCGGACCACGCATGCTCCGAATCGCTCACGCACACAGCCGCACGCATGCCCAGAGTCAAGCACGTCTCAGACGCGTGCTCTGCCATGCTCAGACGTGCTCCGCAGCCCACTCACACACGGACTCACCCACACTGATCAGATCACGCACGGTCATTCCCACTCATACCCAGACTCGATCATACTCAAATTACTCACGCTTGTCGGACGCACTCATACTAAGGCTCAAACCAAAACTCACTCCATGCAAGCTCACGTCTACTCGCACTCAGATCTATTCATAACTATAGATCCAATGCAGCAGGATGGCACTTCGGCATCCCAACGAGGAGCCGCAGAGGGGTATGACACGGTCACGCTCGGCCCATGATTGCGTTGACCTCACATGCAGAGTGGCCGCTTTGGGAGGGAAGGCGTATCTCTCTTCAGAGCCCCATGATCATCGTGATGGGTATACCAAGGGGGATTCGCCAGAGGGTATGATACAGGCTCTGAGAGGCCAGATTGTCAGGACGTCTCAATGAGTGGCGACATCCGAACCCTGCCCCCGGCAACGATCGATTCTCCCGAATCGAAGGGAGGCGGGGGTAGGGTTCGGATTTTACCACGAGTTGCCTGACACGTTGATCGGCGAGAGCTGGGCTCGGATTTCGCCGCCGACTCAAACGGAGGAGGGGATGCACGTGCCTCTTTCAAGGGGGCCAAGAACACACACACACACACACACACACATAAATGCACACAAACAAAAGGATTCCCCATATGTTCCCATATGTTCTGGGGTTTTGTCTTCCCGCCCAATCCCCATAGTTTCCCATATGTTCTTGGGGATCGACGATTCATGGTGTCTGTGTTTGTTTGTTCCCTCCTGACCCTTCTCAGAAGCTCCAGACCCATCGCAGTGCCGCAGGCATACCGCTTTGCCATCCCGAGGGGCAGCCGCCGTCGGACTCTCGAGCTCAGCTCTCAGGACCTCTCCCAAGCCGAGCGGCCGTCTTGGCGGGCAGCCGTGTCGCCGCTCGGAGACCAGCGATCATCGCAGCGCAGCAGATGGCACCTGGGCATCCCCGGGGGGGAAGCCGCCAAAGGGGCTGCGACACGGGCCCATCTGCGCCCAGATCGCCAGAACCCCATCAGGCAGAATGGCTGCTGTGTGGGGGGGGCAGGCGTCTCTTAGGGCCCCGTGATCATCGCGATGTAGCTCGGCGGCGAGCCCGGGGGGAAAGTAACAAGGGGGGGCCTGCTCAGAAGGCTCGGAAGTTCCTTCCCCGAAGGCACCGAACACATCTCAAAGGCTGGAGGCCTTCTGTGAAGGCCCGCCGCCTTCTGAGAACGCCTTCTCCTTCTCATTTCCCTCCTCGCTCGCCGCCGACTAGGCATGTGGGCATCCAATAACAGGGACCGGCCATTGCTTGATACTGACCGACTAGTCAAAGAGATGCACACTTGGGACCTCTGCGTCGACTGGCTAACTCCTCCTCGTAATCCTCCTGCCGCTCCTCCCTCTCCATTTCGCTTTCTCGCCCTCCTCCTCCTCCTCCTCCTCCTCCTCCTCCTCATCATCATCCTCATCCTCCTACCTTTTCATCCTGCTATCTCTCACCCTCGGCCCACTTCTCTTCACCATCAGCGCCTTTCCATGTTTCTCTCCCCGCCCGTCCTCCTCTTTCTCATCTCGCCCCCTCCTTTGCCTCTGTGCTCCTCCTCTTCATCCCTTCCACTCTCGTTGCCACCACTCCTCCTACCCATTATCTTGCCCATTTTCGTCCCTCCCCTCGTTGTCGTCGTCATCCTCCAAATATTTCATCATTTTCCTCGATCATCCCGATCATTGTTTACCCCTCGTATTCTAATTCCTCATGCGCCCTCCTTGCCCTTTTTCCTTCTCCCCGCCCCTCTTTTCCCTCACTCCTGGAACCTCCCTCATGCTCTCCCGTTCAGCCGCCCCTCTTCTCCCTCCTTCCAGCGCCAAGCCCCTGCATTAACTTCGTTCCCTTTTCCTGCTCCACCCTTTTCCACCTCCCTGCCCCTCGCCCCCCCTCCGTCTTTCGCGCCCCCCCTCCACCCCCATCCTCCCTCGCCTCCCCCGCCCTTCATCCTCCGCGCCCCCCGAAGAGAGCGGGGCCTCGGTGCCGGTGGCGTCCGCCAGTTCCTTGCTCATGGTGTCGGAGATCTCTTTCAGGATCCCGACGATCCGCCGACCCCCCGTAGGGCGTCTTCAAGCACGCGACGACGACGACCCCCCCCCATCCCGTCCTCTCCTCCCTTGACTCCCCCTTTTCCCCCCCCCGTCCCTCCCGCCCACCCTCCCTCCAACCCTCGCGACTCATGCACCAGCATTTCTACCTCGTCCCTTTTCGCTAACCTTCCTTCAACTCAGTTCCCTCCCTGCCCCTTCCGCCTCCCGCCTTCCTGCCCGTCTTTCCCTTTCTCTCCCTCCCGTCTTCCTTTTCCTCCTCCTCCTCCTCCTCCTCCTCCTCCTCCTGAAGCAGCGCCGATGCCGGGGCTCAAGCAAGCAAGCGAGCAACAGACGATCAAACTGCGGGCGGGCGGCCGCAGCCCGCGCTCGCTGCGCGGACGGGCCGTGCTCTTGATGCGATTACTGAGTGCTGGCGCTCTTGGGGTGCGCTGACGGTTTTGCAACATCTTCGGGGCGGGTCAAAGCCTGAGCTCTGAATGTGCCACACCCACGCCCACAAGTACGCGCGGCAACGCTCCCAGTGGAAGACGCGACTGCGGTCTGGGATGCCGATGCCCATCTCAGGCCACAGGCCGTCGCAGCACTGCGCGCTTTTGTAAATTTAAACGACCTGTCTCGGCGCGCCCGCTCGGGCGCGCGACGCGCGCGCGGTGCGCGACGGCCCACTGCTCCGCATCGTGGGGCACGATTCCGCGGGGCAGCTTCGAGGCAACTCCATATGTTTATAGTAAGCGCTGAAGCGACCTGCATTTGGTGGGGCCAGGGGCCGGCGCGCGCCCGCGCCATCAGCTAAAAGCGCAAACTTGCCAGGCACGAAAACCCAAGAGAGGATCTCAACACTCGGGCCCAAGATCGTGGACACACGCAGCTCTCGTCGCCCCGCCCCCTGTATGAAGGGGCCCAAAAACACACAAAGAAATACACACACATAAACAAATATCCCCAGTCTTTTCCCATATGTTTTGGGTTTCGTCTTCCCCCCCACTTCCCATATTTTCCCATATTCTCTGGGGAATCGACGATTAATTGTGTCTGTGTGTTTCTTTTCTCCTCCTGATTCTCGTCGCCCCGCCCCCCTCGTTGGGGGGCCCCTGGCTCAAACCGACCTCCACCGCCGCCAGGCGGCCGCTGGCGCAGGCCCGGCGGATCTGGCCGCTCTTGGGGGAGTAGCCCTCGACCTGACGGGGGCGCGCGCGCGCGGCTCCTGCGCCTCCTGGCCATCTCGTCGTGGAGGTGGTCGTCGTCAACGTCCTCCTGCTCTTCCTCCTCCTCCTCCTTCTTCTCCTCCTCCTCCTCCTCCCCCTCCTCCTCCTCCTCCTCCTTTTTCTCCTCCTCCTTCTCCTCCTCCCTCCTCCTCCTCCCTCCTCCTCCTCCTTCTCCTCCTCCTGATTTGTTTCCTCTTCAGCTTCCTGCTCCGTGACCTGCACCTGGTTCTGCTCCTCGTCCGTCTCCTCCTCCTCCTCGTCCTCCTCCTCCCCATCCTGATCAGCCGCTGCCGCCGCCGCTGCAGCAGCCGCCGTCAAGGCGTCTTCGTGCGGTTGATATCTGATCATTCTTCTGATTATTGCTATTATGGGCCCAGGTGACGTCACACACACACACACACACACACACACACACACCGCGCTATGCTGTTGTTTGAACCAGAGATTCCCACCATCTACCCGCTTCATCGCGGGAACACTTCATCAAGGTCCCACTGCAAAAAGATGAGCTATGCCTCAACGAGGTGCGAAAAGATCCCAAGTGACAACCAGCCCTTCGAACTCAGACCATACCCAACGAAGAACTATAGGTGAAAAATGCTAATCCTGCTGCCACCACGGACTGCTGGCGCAAGGCCCAATCGACGCGCAGTCTGATCCGTGATGTATTCTCCGTGCTTATCGCGTTGACCTCTGCAGCGTCGTCGTTCCGATCAAGTTCCAGATTGAGTGAATGAATTGCCTGCGATTGAATGATACCAACGATAGTCCCATTCCACGATCGGTGGCACTGTGTCGGGCTGGGGCAACCAGCCGTGTTGCAAGAACCACTATCATCGCCAGACAAATCGACAGCAGATCGGCATGACAGCTTCTACGGTGCAGAAACACGTCGCCTCCCCTCCTGCTCATCCTCCTCATCCTCGCTCTTCCTCCTCTTCTTCCTCCCTGTTCCTCCTTTCCTCCTCCTCCTCATCATCCTCCTCCACCTCTCTCTCTCTCTCCCTACTCACATATCTTTGGCCTCCTCGAGGGAGAAGGCGCGAGGAGGGGCAGCCGCCCTTGAGCGTAATGGAGCGAGGTGTCCGCCCCTCCGACTGAAGGGGGAGAGGAGAGGATGGAAGAGAAGAGGACATGCAGTGAAGTAAGGGCGAGCCGTCCAAGCCGGAAAGCCCAAAGATCATGTATAGCCGTCAGTACCGCGAGGCAGGTGGGAAGAAAGAAGGGGACGAGCAGCAGGACTCGCGCGCGCATAGGAAGAACAAGGACAGATGATAGCAGGAGGCAGACATAGGACGAAGCCGATTCGAGGCGGCGGCGAAATCACGAGTCCCTGTTGCGCGCGATCCTTGTGAGAGGCATGCCGACATGGGCGGGGGGACGACATGCAGGTTCCTCCACTGGGGCGCCCCCGATGGGGGCGCGATCCTCGTGAGGAGTGTGCCGCATGGGGCGGGGGCGGGGGCGCCACGGTTGGAGCTCTGGGTGGGGGCACGGTTCTCGCGCGGGGCGTGCCGAAATGGGCGTGCCGAAATGGGCGGGGGGGTCGCCGTGCGAGCGATGCAGATGTGGCCAGGATGGGAGCTCCCGGTGGGGGGGCACGATCCTCATGAAGGGGTGCTGCCGAAAGAGGGCGGGGGGTCGCCGCGCGAGCTCCGCCACTGGAGCCACGGGTGGAGCCCTCCCTATGGGGGGACGATCCTCGTGACGGGCTTGCCGACACTGGTGCGAGGAAGAAGCAGGACTCACGAGGAGGAGGGAAGGGGTCCAGGGACACACACACACACACACACACACACACACACACACATACACACACACACGCAAAAATCGATGCAGGTCCCATGATCCACAGTCTGTTTCTGCACGTTCTCGATGCTCGTCTTCCCCCACGCTTCCCACAGTTTCCCATGCTCTCTTGAGGATCGACGAGTCTCTGTGTGTGTGTGTGTCCTTCCCTCCCGAAGGGAAGAGGAGCCCCCTCCTCCTCCCGTCTCCTCCCTCGCCCCCCCTCGTGCCTCCTCCTGCCGCTGCCCCTCCTCGCCCCCTCTGCCCCCTCTGCATCATCCACTCCTCCTCATCCTCCGAGGCCGACACAGTTGTGTATATACCTATATATATAGAGAGAGAGAAAGAGAGAGAGAGAGAGAGAGAGAGATAGAGAGAAAGAGTGAGAAAGAGAGAGAGAGAGAGCAACAGAAAACAATGGGGGGGAGAGAGAGAGAGAGAGAGAACGAGAGAGAAGGAGAGGGGAGGGCAGCCGGGCAGCCCTCGACAGGCGAGGCCCAAGGGGCAGGGGCCTGGCCCTGCGACAGGAAAGCGGTGAGCATGTCACGGTCCGCGGAGCCCATGTCCACGTCGATGGACAGCTTGCGGAGGAGCGCCGCCTCGGGCGTCCATCTCATCCCGCCCACCGGCCCCGCATCCTCCTACGCACTCCTCCCATACCTGCCCCTCCTCCCGTTCCGCCTGGTCCTCTGGCTCCTCCTGCTCCGCCTGCTCCTCGTCCTCCTCCTCCTCCTCCCCAGTATCGCTCTTACCTCCTCCACCGTCTCCCTTCCCTACATCCACCATCCCTCCAACCTCTCTTCTCCTCCTCTGTCCTCCTCCTCCTCCACTTCTTCCTCCTCCTCATCGTACTCCTCCTCTGATTGTACTGCTTAGTGTTAGTAGTCGTGCGTTGTTATGTTACTGTTCGATGTGTCGTTATGTGTTCTACTTCTTATGATTAGTATGTCTGTGTTGATGTGTTGTTATTATCATTATTAGTGGTATACTATTAGTCGCCTTTGTCTTGATAGTAATGTCATTTCTCTTGCTCCCTGCTCCTCATCCGTCTCCTCCTCCTCCTCCTGATCCTCCTCCTACTCCTCCTCCTCTTCCTCCCATCTGCTCCTCCTCCTCCTTCCGCCTCCCTCCGCCCCTCTCGTCATCCTTCTCTCTCCTTCTCTATGCATACTGGTACTCGTCTTTCTCCTAATCCTCCCCCTCCTCTCGTCATCTTGTCTCGTGTCTAGTCCTCCCTTCCTCCCTCTTATTCGCCACTCCCTTTCCCGCGGACGACAGCACGAGGCTGCCACCTGTTTGGTCTGCAGGAAGCTGCCCGACATGCCTCCAGGGGTCGGGGGGGCATAGGCGTGACTGAGAGCGCCCTCGTCCAGCGAGGAGACTAAGAGATGAAAGTCTCCAAGACGGACAACGACGACGACGACGACGACGACGACGACGACGACGACGACGACGACGACGACGACGACGGCCTCGACGACGACCACGAACACGACCACGACGACCACGGCACAAGCAATGGCAAGGGAGACGAAGGGGGTCGGAAGAAGGAATAAAGGAGGGAACGCGAGGCTGACAGCCCCCGAACACCAGCAGGAGGAGAATCTGGGCGGCGCAGCAGCAGAACGTGGAACGGAGGGAAGCGGCGGCACGGGGGCGGTGGGGAGGTGGAGAGGGGAGAGCAAGAGGGGGGAGTGGGGAGAGGGGGAGGACACAACGGAGGGTGAGGGCAGGATAACGAAGGGGGAGGAGGGAGGGGGGGACGAGCGTGAGAAGCAGGAGCGAAAGCGGCGCATGGAAACACAGTGGTATGAGGATGTAGGCTGGAAAGAAAGGCGGACAAGAAGGAAAAGGCGAGGGAGCGGGGGACGCCCTTCCCTTTTCGCCCGCCCGCACCTTTCCCCGCCTCCCTCCTTGCTTGCTTTCCTCCGCCTCACCGTAGCCATTCCAGCTCAAGCCAGCCCGCGCTCTCTTTCCTCGGCCCCTCGCATCGATCCGCGGGCGAGAACCATGGGGAGGTGCTACGGATCTGGCATTCCAGGTGCAGGGCAGCCGGGTGGCGAGGAGGCGCGCAAGCGGCGTCGCCCTCCGAAGGCAGCCGTGGTGGTGCAGCGCCGAGGGGAGACAGTCTTTTTTCGGACGGGCCAGGACTACGGGGAGGCGTGCAAGACAGGTCGGCAGGTGGTGGTCGACCAGTTGCAGAACCCTGTCTTCGTGGCCGCGCAGGAGGCTGGGAGTTTCTAGGAGCTGAGGACGCTCGTGGAGGCTTCGGTGGGTTCGAGCTTGCCAGAGTAAATGCGCATGCTGCGTGCGCTGCTGGCGGCCAGCAACAAGTCGAAACACCGCTTCGACTCGAGTACGGAAGCGTCTGACGACTTCTTCGACATGCAAGAGGAGATCGAGGGCAACAAGGAGTCGGCCTCTGAGATCAGCTTCGACACTTACGCGGACGACCTGGTCAGCGTGGAGAAGAAAGACTCCAATTTCGACAAGATGGAGGAGATAATGAAGAAGGACCTGAATGTGGAGTGCGGCAGCACCAGCGCCGAGGTGCAGGAGGTCGCCATGGCCCCGAGCGTCGAGGACGGGATGATCCTGGAGTACACCTGGCTCCACAAGGGGGCCCACCAAGAACGACTCCGACTCCGAGGCGAAGGATGAGCTGACGAAGAAGGACCTGAAGGTGGAGTTCGAAACATCCTCGCAGCTCATGAAGGAAGTGCTGGGCGACAAGGCTGACCTAATGTGGTCTCCACGCTCATGGCGGACAATCCCTGCGTGCTCAAGCCAACCGTGTACGGCTGGTCCGTCAACACTGAGCGCATCACAAAGTCGCAAGCCCTGAAGGAGTCCATGACCAACTACGCCGTGTCGAAGATCAAGAACGGCTTGGAGTACGATGTTGGCTTCATTCACAAGCCCAAGCAGGGCCACCATTTTGGCGATCAGACCCTGTGCGAGGAGGACCACAAGGCAGAGTTCGAGACAGCCTCGAATAGGTGCTGGACGACAATGCGGTCTCTCCTGCGTGCTCAAGCCTACCGAGTACGACTGGTCCGTCAAAGCGGAGCGCATTCCGAAGGCGCAGGCCCTGAAGGAATCAATGACCAACCACGCCGTGTCTAAGTTCAAAGAGCTCGATGGCTCAGCCATGGGCGCGGGCAGGAGCGAGCT